AACTGGATTTATAGGTTTTTTTATTTTTATTTTTAGAAGCATTCCAGAAGGCCTAAACCCATATAATTGTGATTGCAGTATGGGGCCTGGTTACAAAAAGAACTCGGCCCAGGAGTATAAGGGAATAAAGCCTAAACTAAGCCCAAAAAGGGAAGTCAAGCCCAGTCAATATCCATGCAACACCTCTGCCAATCTATCCAGGACCCGAAATGGAATAATCTAGAAACATCCTCAAAGTTGATCCACGTGGCTTGGTCCCATCCGTTGAATTCATCACAACTCTTGGGCTGATTTTGAAATCCATGTTCCCATCTTCCTCTCAGCCTCCTTCCACAATAGCAATGACCTCAAATGCCATTATCACCATTGTTTATTTGTTAATCTATTTTCAAATACGAGTCATAATCCAATGTTGTTTTATCCTTAGTAAAATTGTTTATTCTATCAAAAAGACCAATTGAATCTAGACTTAAAAAAATAAAATTTTATATTGATATAAAAGGGAAACAAATCCAATAAATCAACTAAAAATTTTGTTTGATAATTTGCTGAATTGCAATTGAAATTGTGTTTTATTTTAATTATAGTTTTGAAAATATTTTATTAATCAACATATGTTAGGATTTTACATGAATTTTACTAAAAACTTTCTCTTAAAATTTTAGTTATGAAAAAATTATAATTTATTTCTCTTATTAAGTCTATTTTTTCAAACTATAACAGCAAAATCTAACGCTAAACACACTAAATAAGTGATCACAGTATATCACATTGGGATGGACAAGTAAAGTAACACCACTAGCCAAGAAGATCGTGGGGGGATTGGACCATTTTCTGTCATTATTTCCCCTCCTAAGTACACCAGCAAAACACTTCTCGTTATAGAGGCTGTGGGCATGTAAGTGCTGATCATGATCAACGCAGGCCGAGTGGGTTGAATAAAAAACACCGAGTACTTTTTGAACCGCAGGAACACTTGGAATCCACCATTATGAATCTAATTCGATTTTCTTTTGCCCAAGTCCATTGAACATAAGAGATGAAAGGCTAATAAAATGGGGTGGCTAGAGGTCGAAAAGCAATTTAGAGACGCATAAAAGGACAAGGCCAAATCTACTTCTAACATCTGCATAGGCTAGCTAGGAACTTTCCTGGCAAGTACAAATTCCAGCCGTCAAAACAGAGCCTTCCCGACCATCGAATTCAAGACATGCAATATATATACAAGAATAAACCTGAATGCACATATAGCCACCAGGTTTGAACTCAAACCAGGCCTGTATAGTTTATAATAGGGCTCCTTTTCACTTCAAACACAAAATGGAAACATACCAAGGGGAGAAGAACACAAAGAAGCAAGAGAAAAAAAGAGAGAATGCGTATAGGGGAATTCGCAGGCGACCATGGGGTAAGTTTGCTGCTGAGATACGTGATCCGACAAGGAATGGAACACGTCGTTGGCTTGGAACATTTGACACAGCAGAGGAGGCGGCCCGGGCCTATGACCGAGCTGCCTTTGCCTTCCGGGGTCATTTAGCCATCCTCAACTTTCCGAACGAATACCAACATCAGGAAACAAACTCTACCATGTCATTTGCTTCTTCTTCTTCATTCTCCACCGAGAATCCTTTGAGTTATGGCAATGAAGTTTCCTCGACTAATGGACAAGAAGTTATAGAGTTTGAGTATTTGGATAACAAATTGTTGGAGGAGCTGCTGGAAACACATGATCACAGCAGGCAGCTTTAGACCCATTGATGATGAATACGTAAAATCTCAATGCAATTCTTTAATTTTGTCCATTTGTGTGAATCCAAAATGGAAATAACCAAATTCCCATTATTTATTTGTCTGTTTAATAACATTACAGCCCGGAAGAAGAACAAAAAGAATGGATTGAAATGAGGAAAGTAGGGGAGAACATTGTTTAATTATCAAATTCTTTCCTTTCTTTCTTTTTTGATTTGATCGTAGAAATGTTAGTTTGATTTAATATGATGAATTACATGTGGATGGCCACTGTATTAAGCACTTTTTTCAACTTTTTTTTTTTAAATATTAGAGTATTAATCTCATACGGGTTTAACCTATCCATCGACACAAAACATAACTTATGCTTTTTTATATTAAATGAGTATTTAAGAAAATAATAAAGATTATTTTACACTTGACAAATGAACAGTGATCCATTCAAAACCTCCGCTTTGACTTTTAACCCTTTTTTTTTTTTGAAGTGGATTAAGAAATAAAACAACAAGATTTAATTTCTAATCTTAAAATAATTCATAAAAGCAATTATAATGTACAATGCTGATATTACATAAAAAATTATTCATAAACAGATATCATAACGATGAAAAGGAGCTTCTTAATTTTATTTTTTCAGTATACTTAATTTTACTTCGAGGTTTTGATTGAATCACATCCTTGAAGTTTCTATTTTCTTAATTAGCTATCTCTAGCATATGAATTAATATTTTTACACTTCATCGGTTTACATGTTTTTGTTTTTGAGGTTTCAAATTATGATTGGAGTCTAATCACTCTCCACACGTACTTCATGTATGTTTTTTTATTTTCAGAACAAGAGAACTACTAAATTAAGGGTGATCAATGTTGGTCGAGAGATTATTTAATTAATTTTTTATACTTCATGTACTAATTACCTAGTTGGAACAAACTACAAGGACTTATTTCATGATTAGCTACTTTACTTTAATTACTTTTTTAAAGTTCAGTATAAATTAGTCCTTATAATTTATTAAAATGAATAGATTGGTCCCTTCTAGTATGAAAAATAACTTATTCGTACATGTAGTTTTGTATCTATTAATAACTAAAGCTCTTCATCCTTTTCTTGCCAGCGAATTATGTTCTATCACAAATCTAGTGGTTTTTATTCCAAAAACCATCTTGCCAATTAAAATTTTAACATGAAATCAATTAAACAAGTAAAAATCAACCACAATTCAATTTTAACATTACCACTACACCAACCAACAAATTAAAAACAGCCGAACTTACAAAAAAAAAATCATATCTTCCACTCTTTATGAGATTATTATTTTATATATAAAAAATGAAAAATTACTCAAATTATCCAATAATTTAGTTGTTTTTACATTTACACTTTATGTTTTTTTAAAAAATCCTATAATCCTATCAAGTTAAAAATTGTTTTTATAAAAAACCCTTGACATGCCATGCTTGAACATTAATGTGATGAGAGATTTGAGCTATGATTAACAGGTTTTTAGTCCCACCCTTCAAACCAAAGTGTTTCTCTTTAGGGTTTTGGTTACATTACTTTATTAGAGTACCCACCCTAAATTAAAATTGCTAGCGTTTAAAAAGAATCCTAAATTGCTATGATCTTGGAATGACGCCAAAGGATGATCTTATTTGAAACTGAAGCTTAGCTTTGTTATTGTTGTTGCTGGTAATGACGTCCTGTGATTACGTTTGGCGACAAGGTTGAAGGTGGACTCGGTTCTTTAAACGACAGGACCGCATCAAAGGGGAGGCTAGATGCTTATGTTTCATGGTGAGGTCATGTTGCTTACATTTTTCAATCATAATTACGCTGTCCAATGCTTGTGTTTTGATTTTTTTAGGGGCACGTCTTAATACAATATGTTTTCACCTTCTATTGCTTATGTAACTTGACAGTAACCAATTCTTAAGCTTTTTCTGGTCTGTAGTGTCTCAGGCTTCTAATAAGAACATGCACTTGTGAGTTTTTGGCTGGCTGTTGGTTTTGGATGGATAATTAAGTAATTTGGTTTTGTTTTTGTTTTTTTTTCATGAATGGGTGTACCAAGGGATATAGTTTGATGAGAAAAACTTCAATGAATTTACTGGGCTTTTTCACGGTTGATGATGGATTTAGCCTGTTCTTGGCGTGCCATGATCTTTAAAACAAAGTTCCATGGTTATTTGGAGCATCCTTTAATAACTAAGTTAACTCTTTTTATTTGTATCGTTGGGAGTAAAAATACCTCACCCTGACTTATCCATGGAAGAGCCATAGCTTCTTAAGGTAGAGTGACACCTCTAGTAGAACCTGTTTTTGTAAGTATAATGGTTAGTTCTAACTTTATGTAATTTATCCATAAAGAAATCTCACGGCTAAAACAATGTTTTAATTGATCATGATATCGACTACTAAATAGAAGTAGCTTGAGAATATTTTATGCATATGATTGAATGACATGTTAGTTTGAGAATGGAAAAAGTTTGTACAGTTTGAAAATTTATAGAAAAAATCAGGACAAAATAGACTATGCAAAGGGCATGGACACCGATGCTTTCAGCCATTTGGGTCTGGCCCAAACGTATTGGAATTATATATATGTATATATATAAAATCGTGTAATGTCAAGTTTTATTAGGATTTGACACATTGATGGCTAGAGGACCACGTATTCTATTTTATAATCGTAGCCTCCTGCTAGCTAGTGATGAGAGAGCATGGTGACGATGGTGGCATATTCCTTCAGGATTATTTTAGTTAGCTACGAGCTTTCTTGGACTTCAACGCGCAACGATAATTTGGGTGGCTGGCCCTCCATCTTAGGAGTGCCAAGAGATTTGCTAGTTTTGTTCTTCTTAGACCCCAAACAATCTTTAATATCAATTTTACCATCGAACTCTTAAGAATTCTTAATCCGTTTTTAAAGCATTTCATCTGTATGAAATCTATATAGTTTAAGGATGGAATTGATATAAAAAAATAGTTTAGGAGTAAAATCGATGCTGCCTTGACATATTGCGGATGCATTTGATGTTTGCCAAAGTAAAGAAAAAAAATAAAGAGGAATTGGAATTACCATATTCTGATTATTAATCTTACTTGTAATAGATACTGAAATTACATAGGAGCAGCCAGTTTTTGTCTGGTCGGGGGGGGCACAAAATAAAAGCTTCTTTTAATTTCTAGAGGCGGGAAAAGCAGTCCTTTCCCTTCACACGAAGATTCATTTGTGATTCGAAAGCAAGATTCACTCTGATTTCTTGCTATTTTCTTCCTCGAAATCAAGAAGATCCTCCAATAACTTATCATCCAAGTACTCAATCTCAAATACTTCTTTTCCTTGTCCAATCCCACTTCTTTCTGCGTTCTGTGACATTGAGGAAGATGAAGCACAGGATGATGACGATGATGATGACAATGGTGAAGACGAAATGGAAGATGAAGTTATATCAGAATCAACCTTGGTTTTAGGATATTCCCCAGGGAAGTTAAGGATTGCTAAAGGACCCCTCATTGAATATGCAGCTCCATCATAAGCCCTTGCAGCCTCTTCTGCTGTGTTAAAAGTCCCTAGCCATAACCTTGCTCCATGCCTTGTCGAGTCACGTATCTCCGCTGCAAATTTCCCCCATGGCCGCCTCCTGACGCCTCTGTATCTTATTTCTTCTCCTTTCTGGTTGACCTTTCCTATATTAGGATGGTCCATCGTTGTCTAGATAGTTGAGTGAATTTGCAAGTGCTAATTGGCTTAAACTCCTAGCATTTATATGGCGTGGAAAATGCGCTTCACCAGAACAAATTAATAATAGGATTATTAATAATAAGCCATGGATGTGAACTTTTTCAACTGCTAAAGATGCCTATGATGGAGATAGATTTTGTCAGTGAAACGTATTTGGGTGATGAAACTGGTGATGGCTTGAGCTGATCAGATGAGAGGACCCCTCCTCCTTCTTTCACTCTTGACGTATCTATGTGTCAAGATCTCCTATTTATAAATGAGGTTTGCGGGTCAACTCAAGTAGATTTTGTTCAATCCATTGGTCTCTCAGCTTATTCAGGTGTTTTTACCCTCTCCCGAGAGCTAATTTATCGTTGTTTCTTAATCAATTGTCTAAATCGGTGAGACTAGAATAAGATAGCATAAAACAGATTCTGCTTTCTGAGTATTTCAGGGATAGAAAAAACAATAATTCTATAAAATAAAATAAAAGGAGTTAAATTTGACTTATTTCTCATTGGGCTACAATTCAAACCAGGAAAGTTAATTGCAGTGAGGTCATATGTGATTGCGTTAACCGGATTCGTCATGCTTATGTTGAAAATGAGCGAGGAGGGTGCTTAAGTTTCCTTCTTGGGGCTGGCATTGCGTAAAATAAGATCCCCATGGCATGGACTGGATTCAGGGTTTAAAGAAGGAAGATTATTAAAATTGGACGTGGGAGGATGCGATTTCAGAGATGACATGAGATGGCTTAGCTTAACACTATGGCGTCATCTTCATGAGGTGATCATGAGGTCATTTGGACTCTGATTGCATATTGATTTGGGCATCATAGTGACGCATCGATCAATTGCTTTAGTCACATGACAGTCACCATGATCCATGAAATCAATTAACTAGAGATACTTCTTGGCTTTGCTTCGCACGTTTTTTTATTGTGTTTTGATGGTGGCGGTGCCTGGATGCATGTCCCAAAGCCACCATTTAGTTCCGAATGAGTTACGATGAGGATTTAGCACTTTCTACAGATAATGACTCCTTGATTTACTTGTCTACATGGAGATTACTGAAGAATTATTGGGTTTAATTTGTCACATGGATGGCTGTAGCACTCGGCTCGTTCATTCCGAGATCAGAAGCACCATTAAAAAGAAATTAAGCATTGTTTCAAGTTTTAACCCCCTTTATGAGAATCCAATGACATATGATTTATTTTCTAAAACGCTTTTTACTGTAGGGTTTTTTTAAATTACAGTTATTTTAAAAATAATTTTTAAAATCAACACATCAAAATAATTTAAAAAATATTAAATTAAAATAAAAAATAAAAAAGATTAATTTCTTTTAAAATACTTTTAAAACATATAAATAAACATGCCAACATAGTTTCCCTTAACAATTCTTGCATCGAAAGCTCTCTGAAAGCGTACGGGCAGTCATCCATCTTGTTTATTACTATGATAGAAGAGGTTGGGTGTTTTTTACTTTTTAAAGAATTTCGGAGCTCTTTTTCTTGACAAACTATCACTCATTCAATTTATTTTTTTTAAGTACAGTTTAATAAAAATTTAAGGTGAAACTGTAATTTTTTTAAGAAGTTGTAATTGGAAGCGGTATTTTAAAACAAATGGTTAAAATAGTCTATATAAATCTTTAACAAAGAGAAAAGATATATAAAAAATAATAATATTTTAAATGTACAATAAAGCTTTGATAATAATATATCTAATATTTTTTTAAAAAATCTTAACAGGATAAATTTATTTTCATTAAAAAATATAATCAATAGTAATTAAAGAGGGCTACGTGAAAAGGTGACATGTCTCATTTATTATTTATTATTTTTTTACTCGTTTTTTAAGAATTTGTGTCAATTCATTTTAACTATTTATTTAAAATATTGCATTCCTCAGCAACTGACCTTTTAAAATATTATAATTTTCACCATCAAATTGTGCTACTGTAACAATAAAAAAAATGTGCTAATTTAAAAAAAAAACCTTAATGTTAACTTGAAAACAAAAGAAAACGCATGTGTAATGTCTCCTGCTAGCCCGTGATGATAGTAATAAATAATATAGAAATGATAAGAAAAATAGGATTATTTTAATCATGGTGGCGATGGTAGTCTATCTAGGCTGACAATCGGAACAGGGGCAAGGAGAAAGGAATTTCATGAATTTTATATACCTTTCAAATTTGTTGGACTTAATCTCAAATTCAATGGTGTATAGTACCTGTAAAAGTTGTTGCCACCTGCAAGTTAGAGTAGCTAAATAAATTAGATGGGACGGCGACTTTATGTTTAATTAACTAATTAATTAATTAAGGTTTAAATGCACGTTAATGATCAAGTTGCAGCCAATCCAGTGTTTTGATAATATTTAAACATCATCTCTCAGTGGAATATATTAATTAACGGTGGATTGGTGGTCCGGACAAGATGTCACTGGTTTCGCTTTTAATAACACCACCATCAAAGCTCTTTTGTCTTGCATGGAGGGGTGGCGGTGATAGGCTTAATAAGACTAATATGGTGGAGCTTCAGTGCTATAATCTCACATAACGGGCCACCAAGAAAGCTCCAGGAGGAAGGATCGAAGTATCACCGAAAAGTTAGATTTTCTTGTAAAAATCGGCATTTGCTCAGTTTCGGTGTCCTAAATACGAAATCCCCAAACCGGCCCTTATAACCCTCCCCATATTCATTATTAGGGACGTACTGATTCGGTCAAGCCCGCACATTATTTGACCAAAATAGCCCAGTTGTAGGTGTGTTAATATCATATTTCTCGGACGTAGTTTTCTCCAGAGTTGTGTGGTCACGTTGTCTTAATTGTTTTGTTTTTTTAATGATATTATTTTTAAGATAAACTTTTTTAAAAAATCTTAGAATGGACTGTCATGTTACTTAAATTTAACCATATTTATATTTATTTTGATTTAAAAAAATGAAACTCTAAATATATAAATTGCCAGTCAATTAATAAAAATACAAGTGGAATTCTGCTCATTTAAATTTCCAAATAACTCATTAATTTTAATGATGGTTTTAAAAAATATCTAACCTCGTAATGTAATGGTCTCTATAATAGAAAACTTGCAAATTAATCCTTAATAGATAATTTTTAGATCCAACTTCGAAATGTTTGAATAATTACAGCTTGATCTCAATATATTCATTAGTCCTCCGAAAAAACAATTCTTGCCCCAAACCCAAGGATAAAGTTTTCAAGAAGTTGTTATCAACTAAAACAATGACATCTTTTGGCAAAAGGTATAAAACGATTCTCCAACTTGATTTATATAAATTACATTTCTTTCTTTCTCTAGTTCAAATATTGATGGTGCCTTTGAAAGTTGAGGATTGTCCAGGGAAGATGTCGGAAACCAATCTCAGGCCAAAAGGCAGAAGGAAAATACAAGTGCATGTAGTCTGCCAAGAAGAAAGTAGCTCAATCGAGTATCACCAGAGGTACGGATTAGGATATCAGGTTCAGGTGCAGTTGCCATGTACATGTTCTTGTCAACATCAGTAACTTCTACGAAGCTCTCTCCGTCATTCTTCTCATTTTCCTCAGGTTCTCCACTTTCATTCAGTACAATAATTCCACCCCCTTTTTCTCTGCAAGATTCTTGAACAGCATGTACAATCACATCGGTGGAAGTGCAGGCAATACAGACGGTCAAGAATAGCTTGGAGTTGTGAGCAGTGGCCAGCATGGCATTTTCCGCTGCCAATCTAAAAGGTTCACTCAAGAGTTTATGGTCCCTTGGAAGTAGGCTCTCATTCCATAGCGACTGACAATGCTATCTTCCTTCATCAATCCTTCAACGTGTTCTAGAAATGAATCCATCAAAGGTTGAATCCCATCAGGACGTCGTTCGAAATTATCGATGCTGAAGGCATAGAATGTTGCACATCTTATTCCTAACTCATAGCAATATTTGACACAGGAAATGAGAGCCAATAAACCAAACTAGTAGCCAGCTGCTTCTGCTAAATTATGTTTCCAGGCAAACCTCCGGTTCCCATCCATGATAAATGCAATGTGATTTGGCATAGGGCCTACAGAAATGATATGAATCATACTTTCCCTCAGGAAACTAACCAACTTGCCCAAGATCTCAATTGCTTTATCTTTACTAACGTTCTTCATCCCAAAATCTCTAGAATTTTAACCATAATGTGCCAGTTTTCATGAAGAAACCCAGGATGAACTGGTTGTATGGAACTACTAGTATGCTTGTGTTTGTCTGGTGTTCTCAGGCTGGAATTGGGATTGACATGGAAAACGGCTCACTAGACCATTGGGTTGACTCATGGTCCATTGGGTAAAACCATAGGTCACATGTCAATATTTTTATTAAAACCATATCATTTTGTTCTCTCTCTTTTTATATAAAAAAAATAATCTGGTGTCGATCTTGTCAGGTTTAGATTAGGTTTTGCTGCGACAATTGAGTCAATAAAAACATGATCAAGTCAACTGAATTTCATCAGATTAATCACTTATCTAGTTCAACTAAAAACTCAGTGGAGGTCAAGCTCTGAGTAAACCCACAAGACTGAATCAAGTTTAACAATAATATCAAAAACACCAATTGCAAATAGCATTTGAATTTGTTCTATAGAAGCAATCAAAATAGTAATGAGGTAAAAACAAACAGTGTCAGCACATGTTTAAATGCTCCGGGGATATGAAGCAGTGTGCATCCCATGCTCTGTGAAATCAAAATCTATTGACCTGAATAATTCATATGTTATTGGAAAAATGTGTTTTGATAAGAAGAAGATAAATTAGAGCTTCCCTCTTTTATTGGTCTCGAGGCACAAAAAATCCGGTTCAATCCCGGATGAATGTTTATCAAAATTTTAAATCACGTTATGATATCAAAATCAAAATTCAAACTCAATAGAACTAAATTCAAACCCAAAAATATCAGACAGTAGCTTACCATTATTTCAGATGTTGAATCACAGTTCAACCCATTTCATACAAGAAGTTATCGCATTCTGCTTTCTCACAACGTTTAGGTACACTCAAACTTCATACATTATGATACATTTGACATGATACAAACTTGAGATTGGTTTATTGAGATTCCCAATAGTTGACATACCAATCTGTACGATTGCCTTGTTGCATCAATCACTGGTTATGCTTGCAACTTGAAAGGCTCCAGTACAACTTCACTGTTGCCTTTCTCATTCATGTAGTTGGAAAAAAACTCTCTGAACTCAAAGGCTCTATATAGTGGGCGATTGCCCGCTTTAATAAGTTCTCTGGCAGGTTCGACAATGCTGTCACGACTAGGACTGACAAAGAAGGCAGCACTTGTCCTAGCATCCTTTGAATTTGTCACTGCTCGATGTTCGGCACCTTTTACCTTGTTGTTACTGATAATCTATGACAGGAATTAACCAGCATTCTTCAGCTTAATTATACTCAAACATTTCAAGAACTTTACAGTAGCGATGACAAGGATATAAGAAGTATACCTGTAACTGGTACCCAATGTTAATCACAAATGCATTGGGAACAGGCCCAACACCAATCCATTCACCATCCTTGAATACTTGAAGCCCACACACATCACCTTGGAGTAAAATGGTTATGAGATTAGGATCACAATGTTTCGGTAATCCCAGTGTTAAACTTGGATCTGGGCATGGAGGGTAACGATTGACTGACAACAACGAGTTTTCACTTAGTGTACCCCCAAAATACCCAGACTCTAATCCTAAACCTTCACTGATCAGCTCCAATATCCCTGAGGCTAATTTCATCACTTCAGTCGAGTAATTCCCAACAACCTGTCTGTGAAATTATGGAGACATAAACATTAGGAAAGGTTAAACTTAAACTTATGTCTGCTTCGGTAATTGTTTTAGGGAGACTGAAATTTGACAGGTGATACAACATAGCAGTCAGCAGGCATAACGTTTTACCGATATCTGGTTGGCTTCTCGGGCCATTGTTGAATGCATGCATCTAGATCAGGATGACATGGGTGTCTCAGAAAGTCACGCCAGTTGTGAACATCTTCATTTGCATAAGAGTTACTACTTGTGAAAAGTCTGCAGCTTCTATCTGGGTCTTCAGAATAGATGCCTGCCAGATCCTCTGTGGGCATCTCAAAGACTTCATTGAAGACAGTCATCGTATCATTCATCAATTCCTTAGAAACTCCATGGTTAATCACCTGTTTTACAGTGAGAATATAACATTCATCATTATTACTTCATGATATTTTACATAAAATTGAATAAGAGTATTACTTAATAAATTGCTGACCTGGAAAAAACCGAACTCCTGGCTTGCCTTCAAAATTTCCTGGGTAATATTGGCTCGGTTTTGACCTGCTATATCACCGAGATCTATTACTGGAATGGACTCGCATAAGGCAATAGCTACCTTCCCTGGTCGGATTTTTTCTGGGAAAATGTACTTCTTAGGCAAGGATTGAAGGTTACTGCGGCTTGAGAGAAGCTTCTCCATAACTTGGAATTGAAAATTCCTGTGCTAAGAAAAAACTATTTGCTGTACTAGATTTTCAATCCCCGAAGCAAATGTGATTTGTATATAATAATATCTAGCTAGTTGAATACAACTTGAATGTATTATGAAATGGACTTGTAGTTGGAACCTTGCAAGAAACTTGAAGAGAAACAACAGGAATATTACCGAGGATCCTGTCTGATCATCCCAGGAACCGGCTAATCAATGATAGGACGAACATAAATTCCAAAATGTTGTGTTTTTTAATGATATCTTGGAAAGAATGCTATGTGTTAGTTTGATTTCATATTCCTAATAGCCTTCATTATATGTTTATATATTCCTTTCCAAAGCTTTATGTATATAATTGGCGCTTTCGAAATTGCAATAGTTGATGACAAAAATGGATTGCAGAAGAAGAAAGGGTTACCAGTTGACTCTGCACCCGCCCTTTTCACTAAATATTATTTATTTTCCAAGCTCTTCCTTTAAAGCATCTTTAAGAAAATTATACTTCATATATAGCTAACATTGACGCAAATAAGGTTGTGTTTACTTTCAGAAAATAATATTTAATTTTCATCATTAATTTTTCTATTCTTAAAGAGATTTTTCTATGAAGAATAAAGAAAAAATGTTTATTACATATAATTTCTCAAAATAGTGAATAAGTACATTGTTTGGCTTAACTTGAAAATATAAAAAATAATGATCATAAAGCATTAAATCAACCAACTAGGACTCCTATTTTTATAACGGGGAATGTGAAAAACAACTAATTTCATATTTTTCAATTTTCTGAAAAAATAAAGAGTTAGAAAACTTGTGTTTTCGAAAAAAATTAATTTTATTTTTCAATTAGCAAACATGTTTTCTTTTTCCTACAATTTTTTTTTTCTGAAAATGTTTCACAAATAAACACAATCCAAGTGTTACAGCGTTGTCAAGAACAAGAGCAATTGCGGAATAAACTATACTAAAAAGGAACTGGGAAAAATATTAATTAGTTTCCCAAATAAGATTATAAGATATTTGACCGGGTTTGGCCTTGACTGATGCAGCCGTAAACAAATAATAAAGAGATTTGTTACGGGTTAAAATTTATAAATATCAAAAACATTTTATATTTAAAGACTCTTAAAATATTTAATTTTTTTTTTCACTTGTTAAAAGATTGTTACAACTTTTTATGTAAAAAATAAAATTAAAAAAAAACTCTATAATACATAATTAAAAAATAAACTAGAATATATGTATGAAGCAAAGATATATATTTACCTTCTAAAGTTATTTCTTGGATTTTTATTTATCAAATTGATCCATGAATTCTTCAGTTAGACGTTCCACGTCATCATTGATCCTAGCCTTTTGAATATTTGGTCAAAAGCAATCAACCCTTGAACTTATAAAATTTATGATTTTAGTCCCATGAACAATTTGGTCAAGGCAATATAACAGCTCCATCTCCAGGATTTTATCAATTGACCATTACATGATCTTATAAGAACGAAACAAGTACAGTTCTGAAATTAAAAATTTTAATGGATTTTGTATTGTACATATAATACCTAACTATTTAATTGAAATGACTTTCTTAATGTAAGAGATAAAGCGTATATATTCAAGTTCTTGACAAACAAAATACTTCAGCACGTGTTTTACAAATTAATTATTTTAGTTTTTTTTTCTTCAAAGATCGGTGATGGTTACATAAATATATAACACAATGTAAGGATAATATAACCACCAACTATTTTTAATAAAATAATTAATGTTAATTTCCTTAATTATAATAATATTATCAAAGAAATTTCTCAATTTAAAAATTAACGATTTTGGATGAAATATTAATGTATGATTTATATTATTTTTTAATATACTCTCTCGAGTAAATATTTTTTAAATTTAAAATTTTTACAAATCTATATTATATTGCACTATTAATTAGATTTTAATTGAAAAAAAATAAAAATAGTAAGATTTAAACTTATAATCGTTTGGTTACTAAAACTTTAATACCATATTAGAAAATCACTTTAATTTATAAATTTAAATTTTTAAATAAGATTATAAAATATAATTTATATTATTTTTTAATAAATATAACAAGAAAAATGACTCACTTCAAGCTCATCGAATTTCTAATAATAAAAATAGTAGTAATAAAAGATTCAAAATGTTTGCAAGGATTACATAGCCGTAATATTAGCCCGCAATCACATACATGTTTAAGAGGTTAATCCCTTGGACATCACTAATGGAGATGGGTTTGCCTTTTCCATTCCAGAGTAAAATTAGAATTTAGTCTGTAAGCTTTTAAAACTAGGTGCGGAGCAGGGAAATTTGTTTAAGGGAGCCAGGATTAGGAAAAGATTTTTTTAGGGAAGGGGAAAACTTAAGTCTTACTACTTTTAACCCTAAAATCTTAAATTGTTTCAGGAGCTAAAAAAAATTTATTTATTTATTTATTCATTTAATTTTTGCAGTCCTGGCCTTATATGCCTCCCCTGGCTCCCCCTTGCTTAAATCCTATACGGTATTGTAAACATTAGTTATGTGACATGAATCATATATTTTTATTTTTTCATAAAAAAAAATTTATATATACATATGTTTTTTTAACATGTTTTTATAGTCTAAAAAATTTCAGTTCAAAT